CCCCCACAAAAAAAAAAAAAACCAAACCGCGTGTATGCAACGGAAGCGAACAACGTGCAAAGACACGGAAACATGCACGCAGTTCAGTTTGATGAGCCTAAAATGCTTCGGCCTAACGCATTGATGAATTCCTCCAGTACTGCATCCCGCTAATGCTACAGCCTGGACGGACATAGTGCTACTGCATCACTGTTGATCATTTTTGGGGCCTCGGTTTAATCGGAAAGTAATGAGTATAATGATAAACTTTTACCTGATGCCGGGCTCGTTCCACTGATCACTACTGTATCCGTTTCGGAAGCATAAGAACGAAGAGGCGATGCGTGATGAGCTTCTGTAAATCAGTTTTGTTCACTTAACTCATCGATTCCGGGATTTTCAAAATGAACAAATACTAGTTTTCTCGGGGCAGCGCGATAAAACATTTTTAACGGAGGAGGAGCTGAATTTCTGCCGGATCACACTGGGTGTCGTGGCACATACACGTGTAAAACTTCCCTTTTTCAGCAATAATAACATAAAACGAGAGATTTTAAGGACAACTTACTTGCGAAACTTAAAGCCTTTCTGGCGCTATTTTCAAAATGTGCCACTCTTTTCATCAATTCCTTGCGTAACGTTTCTGATTCAGCGAGGTTTTTCTCGAGATCCACTCGTTTCGCATCACTCATTGCAAGCCGATTTCTAAATTCATAAATGTTGACTTTTTGATGCAAAAAAATGTCAAATTTTCGCTCTAACGCGTTTTGGCTTGCAATAGCAACATGCGAACTTTACAAGAACATATCTGAAGGCTTACTTCAAAGCATTCAGCTCCGAAGCAATAGTTTCCTTCTCGTGCAAGGTATCCATACGTGCTTTCTCAGCAGCCTGATAATTCTCGACCATGTCACCCAGTGCCCGTTGACTTGTTGTAGTCTTTTGCTCCAAAACGCTGCGAAGATGTGACAGTTCGTGCGATAGTTTTTCATTTTCTGCTTCCAAAGTAGCTACGTTTTCCTCGGCATTCACAATCTACATTACTTTTAGATGAAAAAAAAGAAAAAAAAAAAAATCCGCAATATACGAAATTAAGGAAGCATACGATCATTTGGGCTTTTTCCGCAGAT